GGAAATACAGAAAAATAAAATGGTTTCTGGGTTGTTTGGTATCGTGAGGTAGAGCAGAGAAGAAGGGGGAAAAATTAGGGTCTTGTTGGTTTGATTCTCGCTATTTGGAGGTGGTTGTTGGTTGTTTTAAGGTGGATTTCTCGTTTTAGGTTGTTGTGTGGGAAGGGAGGCGACTATGAGAGCATATGGGATGAGAGAAAGATTAGGGTTTAGAGAAAGTTCCTCCTCACCTCCAAATATTTTCCATCCCCTTTATTTTTTAACCTAATCAAAATTTATATAAGAAATAATTTTATAATGGGCTCAAATTGTGGACTTGAGATTATGACCCAAAATTATTGGTTAAATAAAATATTTGTATTTGAATAAATTTCTAGAATGTGCAAAATATCAGAATGAATATTAACAAATGTAACAAATAAAATGAATATTAAAAAAAATATAATGAACGTAACTAATGACATGTAAAAATGCAATTTTAAAATTAACTAATAAAAATTCCTAAATTTTGATAAATAAGGATAGTTATCGATAAACTTATTTAAAATTATAAAAAAAAATTATCTTGAACAATTAAATAAATAAAACATAGAAGTTACGAATTTTGAAAATGTTAGGTCAAAATTGGGTGTCAACAACAACCCCACCCAAGCTACCCCGTCAAAAAAAATTCCCCCCCTCCCCCCGACACCCCCACCCAGGCCACTCCCGAAAAAAAAATTAAAATTATTTTTGCAAAATATTTCAAATTTTTAAAATTTTCATTTTTTATGTCACCCCCCGGCCCCCTATCCCCGACACCCTCGTTGAAAAAAATTATTTTTGAAAAAATATTTAAAATTTTCAATTGTTACACCATCTCTACCCCCTACCCCCTACTCAGCCATCCCCCAATCGCCAATCCTCCGTCAATTATTTTTTAAATTATTTTTGAAAAATAATTTAAAATTTTATTTTTTTACGCCACAGGTCAGAAATTATTCTCCTAAAATAGTATTTTTCTAGTCTTAAAGTAAAAAATAAAAGATATTTTTTTGGAAAATATTTTTCATTCACCAGCCAAACATTAAAAAATATTTTTCAGAAAATATTTTCTACTCACCTACCAAACATGAAAAAATAAGTTATAAAACATTTTCCTTTCATACCAAACACACCCTAATGCCTAATATTTTCCCATTGGGTGCAATTTCTACGTTTTGCTACTGGTAGTCTAAAGAAGTTGCAAATTTTATCATTTGTATTTTATTACAAAATAATAGAACTCAATGATTGAACCCGTAAATGCTTAATATCTATTCGATTGGAGATTTAATTTTATTCAACAGGAAGATATTATATAATAATAAATAATAATAATAATAATTTAAGAAAATATAAGTTTTAAGAGTAAAAGTGAACAAAAAAAATGGATTGAGGAGTACTTTTAGTCAAATAAATGAATAAGGAACACATTTAAATTTTTTTAGATAGTCCAAAGATATTTTTAGCATACAAACTTTGACTTGAATCCAATTTTGTCGGAAACATCCATTTTAGACATTTTTTAGAAGAAGAGGTATTTAGGCATGTGTAATGTGTTGTTTATTTTCCCGTTGTGGGTCTTATGCGTCAATCGCCTATATTTTGTGTCAACCATATCCACTTGTTATATATCACAATTCATATTAATTTGATTTGTCTATTCCAACTTGGAATTTAGTGCCTGATATTTATATTTTACTTCACTCAAAATTTAATAGTACTATTTACTTTGTATTATTATAATTTTGTACATATACATATGCTCCACCAATAAATACTTGTCAATCATCGGTTTTGGCATCAACCTCCTAGCCCCCCCTCAAATTAATAAATCCTTGTTAGCAGGGGAAATTTATTTAAAAGAGAGGATTTGATAGAAGTCAATTTTTTGAAATTATCTTTAGAAAATTCAAAACTCATAAAGTTAAAATTCTGACTTCGCCTCTAACTATGAGAGTAATTAATAAGGTAAATCTGTAATACAGCGTCCACAATATTCTGCAGTTTCATATAAGTGTTGGAGCTAGCTATAGCAATCTTAATGCAGTACTGAGAATAAGTTGAAAATCGTACAAACAACAATTAGACTTTTGAACGCGTACAAAATCAAATTTTTACTCTACTACATATTCTATCTTTCAAGGCTTTTTTCTCTACATATTTTTTTCCATGTATATTATTGCATTTGCGAGCCAACTTTTAGGAATTACCAGACTTTCACCATTTTTCGTGTGTATTAGTCCATGGATCTGGCGCCTTTAGAGCACCCAAATTTTTTTCCCGAAAAAACTATATGAGGACCTCTGTAATAAGTTGGAAAAACATTACGTATAGTCCCGCCATTTTCACACATATTTTCGCAGAGCTTACTTTTAGGAATTAACTGACTTTTGCCGTTTTTCGTATTTATTAGCCTATATATTTTTTTTAATACTTATCTCTTGTATCTTTAGTCTTACTAAGGTTTAGATAAAAAACAAAAAATAGTAATGCATGACTTTTGGCTTTTTGTTCTTTCTGCTGCAGCTGTTTAGCTATATTCGTCTCCTTTTCTTAGTCCCCATCAGGTCCACCTACGAGACTCACCTTTGGCTTTCGTCTCGATAGGTGTATTATTATACATTTTCCCAAAAGAACATTCATTCATTTCTTTCTTTTCCGTTGACCACGACGACTGAAACGACGCGAAAAATTCAGACCCGTAAAGGAGAAGGGACGATGAAATGTATTTCAGAAAGTCGGGCCGATCGGGTGTCTTTATTCAAGCGACAACTAAATTGAAATATTACCAATAAAATAAAGGACGCGAAGATAGAACTACGACAAATTAAAACTTTGAGCCCATTACTCTTGAATCTCCATCATACATACCACCAACATAGAGGCATAAAATTATTACTTTATATTCTTTTTAAAAAAAAATGATTTCTTCAAATACCCTTTTTAAAAATTAGTTTTAGGTAAGATTATATCAATTCAACGTTGAAAAACATCATTTTACTGAGGCAATCATGATATGGATTGTTAGCATAATTCTATAAGTAATAAGTTGACATACTTTAAATAAAGATAAGAGTTAGGAATCATAGAATGTAATTCAAGAAGTTGATAACTTGATATACCTTACTTAAATATGTTTGTTGTAATGCTTGAAAATTTAAGAAGAAATAAAAAATAATTTGTAATTAACAATTTCGACTATTAATTTATATTTTTGATAAAATATTACACTAACTTATCAGAGATTTGAGAAAGGAAGTGCAAAAGGAGTTGAAAAAAAGAAGAAGATGATGAATATTGTGTGTTAGCAAAAAGAACTCAAGAAAGCAAAATAAGATTTTCATGATTTATTTCTTCTATTTGCAATAGGGTTAAGGAGAATAAATTAATAAGTAATATTTTTTTAGAAAATAAATATACTTTTTATTATAAATAGTAATTAAAAAAGTCAACGCATAATTTATTCGGAAAAAGGATTTGAAAAATATTTTAACTTTGGCCAAAATTGTTGTTACGATACCAAACTTTATGGATGACCTTTTACCCACCTGCACTTTTTAAAGGTGTATTTTAAAGGTATATATTTGCCCACGTGGACACATTAATATTTAAAATGATGCAATATTTTTTATATCCACGTGGGCACATATATCCCTTTAAAATACACTATTAAATAGTGCAGGGGGTAAAAGATCCTCCATAAAGTTCGGTATCGTAACAACAATTTCGATTAAAGTTCAGATATATTTCAGACCTTTTTCCCTAACTTATTCTAAGTGAAAAAAATTGAGTCCCTCAAAACTGGGGGTCTAAGGCATCTGCCTTAATTTTTGTAAGTAAGAGCCAGCCTGACCCTCACCCCTTAATTTCCTTCCATAAGGAATTAACTTATATACCGTCAGAAGCGGATTTAAAATTTAAATTTTTGAGTTCAATTTATAAAGTTCTTAGTCTTAATTTATTGTATTCTTAAGTTATGAATTTACATTTACTATTTCTTGTAATATTAATAAATTCTACACACAAATTTATGTTCCACCTCTAAAGTACTGAATTTGGATATCATCTATCCTTGTGATGTGAGTTAATCTAGAAGTGTAATTTAAAACACATTGATCTCATTCAATAATAGAAAAAAAAAAGTAATTAATATCCCCAATCAAACAATTAAGTACTGTCTATGGACTTGTAAATCAAACAAATACTTTCTATCCGCTCTACTCTACGTATATATACGCTTACTTATGGGAAGAGAAAAGAAAAAAAAACTAACAAATGTTAAGAAGATTTGGTCCAAAGAATCGATTTGTTTTTGGGCTCTCAAAATATCAAAGATATATTACATATTTATTTCTTAATTTTAATCTTCATGCAATCAATCTACTTAGTATTATGTCCAATTTTGTTTTGGGTAAGTAATTAAATTTCTATAATAGGATGCAAATTATATTTTAGTTCGACTGGTTTATTTTTTTTCTTAGAATGAAAGGTTAGAGGTTCGAATCCTATAATATTTATTTTTTATATGGAAAGGCCTCAAAAATTAAAACCCAAATTTGGGCTGCTCCATCCGCACAGTAAACAAATGAGTCAAGGAAACTCACTCATTCAAGTTAAGTCATTAATATTATTTTTACTTATATTCTGATAAATAGACTTTTAGTATTAATATAATACTAAAAAATTTCAACAAAGCAGTGTCGTTAGACACCTCTTGACAGAGGGTGGGTTCGTCCCTGCCTGGACTATTTATTTTATCCAATATTGTGAGCTATATTAATGGAATATATTCCCATATATAATTTGAATTGCTATATTAAAATTATTTATCATACTATACTTCACTAAATGCTTCTTCATGAGTTACAATATAATGTGATGATTAGAAATTTAATTACATCATATAAAACAAAGTAAAAAATTATACAATTGATAATCTTAGCATCTAACTAGTGGAATTCATACATAGGTACTTTTTAAGACGTTAATGGCATGAAAGCTCCATGAAATCCATATGGCACCCTACTCGATAAAGTTATAATAGCAACTGGCTCTTTCGTAAATTTCTTTGCATCAATTATACAAACCTACAAGAAATAAACATATTAGAAATGAATCGATGATTTAAATTTAATGAGTTTAAATATGATAATTTTGATGCGCTGTATTTTACTTACTTGAGAAATATTTTCATTTTCGTTATGCGTAAATGTAATGATCCAACCATCGTCTTCATCGATGCCTTCAGGTTTTGGAACAAAGGAAGTTCCTGAACAAAATGTGTTCTTTGGGAACATGTGATATCCTGCTTTAATCAATTCATCTTCTTCATCCTATATATTTCATTTCACAAATATTAATTAGCTAGTACTATATTATATGAAGTATTAATCCCCTTTTTTTTTGGAAATGTATATATATACTATAGTATACATACCATATTAAAGGTTTTCTTTTCTTCAAAATGAAGCTTGACTAGCCCACCAAATTTAGCGAATCCTGTTAAAATAATTAATGAGTAAATCATAAGATTTATTTGTAAGAGAAGTGATAAAGGATATTAAAAATTGATTTGTACATATATAGTTTACCTGAGGCAGACAACTCTGTTGACTCAACAACTTGTAGATAAGCAAATTTATTTCTAAATCCAGACAACTTTTCATTGATGATAGGGAATTCCATTGCAAACTCATCTCCAGATAGATTCTTCTTCTCTTTAATCTCTCCAGTTTTCATGTTTAATCTCCATTCGCAAACACGAGAGAAAATTGATTCTTTTGTGAACTCATCAGAGTCGTCATCTATGAAACTTGTTTCCCTTTTAATCCATTTGGATAACTTTTCTAAGTGGTTGACACTAGAACTAGGTCCCGGTATAACTGATTGATGAGCTCTACATGCTCTCACCACCACCTTTGCAAATTAAACAAACATTTTCATATTAGTTTATTTAATCAAGAAAGTGACTTTCTGATCAACTCGATTAAAAAAAAGTACGTACGTACGTACCTCATCATTATGTTCGAAACAATTAATGATGTGAAATACACAACAAGGGTCAACCTCAAACCATTTGATGGAATTGGCATCACCATAGCGTGGCATTATCCCAATTCTTGCATATCCATCTTTTTCAAACTTCATTAACCTACATAATTACAATATATAATAAAAAATATAGACATATGTACTATGTTACATGATTTTCATTAAAAAGGGAAAATTAATAGATATACTCACTGGCCTCCAAGAACAAGTCGACTTATGTCAACTGTTAGCGGGAAATTCATGATCACATTGTATCTACAAGATTGACATGTATAGGACCAAGTAGAAAAAAAAAAACTATATATCATACGAGTATATACGTAGTTTAAAATAGGACAAAATAAATTTTACCTTTGTGTAACACCTATTTCATGGCAAACAGCACATCTATCGAACATGAGATCCGCTTTGTGAACCATTTTTTTTCCATCAGCTGAAAGATTGGTAATAAATTGAGTAACATCGTGAAAAAATAAAAATAATAAGTAAATTGAGTAACGTCCGATTAAAGAAGAAGAAACAAAACATATATAGGGAATTAGGAAATAGTAATAAGGTACCTGAAATGACACCAAGTTGAAAATAAGGCTTTTTTGCATCAATACCAATTATAACTAGTTCTCCCGTTCCAGGTGCTTTCTGTGCATATAATGTTATTAGAAGGCAACAAAGATAAAAAAAGAATTAAATAAACATAATAGATATAGTGAAGAATCGAACAAATAGTCAATCAACTAAGCTATGACACGTACCTTTGGGTGGCTTGTGAAGGGTCTATTCCAAGATTCACTTGGAAAATTCCAATTTCCCTGAGTTTGTAGAGAATGTATATCGATCTCTTGAGGCATATGGTTCTCAGCAATTGAGTAGTATTTGTTTGCATGTTCAAACACATTAGTGTTGCTAAGGTATTTGTCTATCACGCCAAATCTCAACTGCAACACAACAAAAATATTATTGCAGAATTTTATTAACGATCAAAATACTTACTAAATTAACTAGTACATACCACATTTAGAAGGTTGGAGAGGAGTATAGTAGGAGAATCGCCTTGAATAGCAGGAAGAAAACCTGGTTTGTTTCGATCCTTTTCCATATTATAGCTATCTGTCTGAACATGTTTGTTCTTGTAAAACGTCTTCCACTTCCCACCATTCTCTTTGTTTAAGTAGAGAGCATGAAGCATTCCTTCACCGTCAACCCACATATGCCTCGATTCACCAAATATAGACCTCGTAGATTTCAGTCCTCCAAATAGAGGGTTTGGCCCTGCAAGCTGCAATAATACGGATTAACCCCGCCCGCGATAAAATAGGAGTACGTATTTATCTCGTCGTTTCAACGTAGAAAAAAATTAATCCAATGTACCGTTTCTTATGTAAACACCCTCTGGAAAATTGTCTGGAATTTTTCCTTCAACTATTTCTACTGTTGTCGCTTCTCCTATCTCTTCCACCGCTGCAAAGTTACTCTATTGAAAATTAAATTGAATATATTTGATGTACGTACATAAAATTCAAACAAAGATTTAGAGTTTAGAGTTTAGCGGTGAAAATTACCTGACATGGGAGCAATGGTTGGTCAACGAATTCATATATGAAGTCAACAAAAGCTTCCAATAAATTGAATGAAGTGTCCTTGATAGCTTTTGGAACGTCTAATGAAATATTTGGGAAATGGTCCAACTCCTTCAGCAACATTGGCTGTTCAAATACAAATCATGCAACTTTGTCTTTAACAAACTTAGATGTTTAATTTGATACTTAATAACAATAATAATGATCCCTAATTAGCTAATTGTACAAATTAATAGGCATTTCTATCTGCAGAAAGCATGTCAGTTGGTTGTGGTTCATTTTAAAAGTTACTTTGTTAATATATATATATAAATTATATACAATATAATTTATGACAAAGGGTGGTTAGTTCAACATTTTTTGCGACGTAGCTCTTCCCCTGCTGCATACATGTAGTAGACTATCAATTTTTCGCGATCGGTTGTAATTTCGAATTATCTAAAAAAGACATAGTATATGCTTAAATATTTTAAAGAAGTTTTATCAGTAAAAAATCAGGATGTTTTGGACAAAAATGTTGCAATAAAAGAGGACTGTCACCATAACAAATAAAGAATTTTATGATAATTATTTAGCATAATAATATAATTAACATTATATTATATTTAATAACAATAATAAATATGAATATAACTAATATTTTATATAAATACCGTTAAAAACTTTAGCGACTCTGAATTTAATGACATTAATTTAATTATCACTAAATATTTTTATAATAATAAATATTACCACTAAAAAATAAAAATATATTACCACTAAATATCTCTTTTGCTCTAGTGAGTTCCGTTTACCTTGAAAGTAGATGAGAGTGGGTTCTTGGAGTGCTCAAGTTTGGGTGGAAGTGATGGCCTCTGCAAAGAGCATTTAGTGACCACTTGAAGTAATGCATAACTATTAGCAGTCATATTCTCTACAAATTATTATTGGAAAAAAATGTCTTTCAGTATATACTCTGCTGATTGATGTGCAAAAATGTGTTTCAGTATATTCTATCAATAGAAAACAAAGAAATCAAATTAATGTATATAATAAATTGGAGTTAGAAGTTAGAGATATTTATAGATATATAGAGCATATGTTGGAGATAGAAGTTGTCTAGCAATTAATATGACAAGTTTATAGATACTATTACTATTGTATAGACAAAATAAAAGTCTACTATTGAAGATACATGGAAATTACCTTGGGCCTAGAGGTAATGAAAATTAAACAATTACAGTAAAACCTCTCTAAACAAATATTATCAAGATCATGAAATAATTTTGTAGAGGTATATATTCTTTAATCAATAAATTGATATTTAATAATTTAAAGAGTATTTTCGAGATTTAATGAAGGTTAATTTTGATAACTTTGTTTATGGATGAAGCCTCAAGGAATTTAAATCAACCCTATTTGAAAATGACAATTATGAATTTGAGTTCATGATCAATAATCTAAATAAAATGGATGTCATTAACTTGTTAGATTATCCGGATAAAAAATGGTACATGTTTAGAGGTCCAGAGCTTAGAGGAAATTGTGGATACCATTGGAGAAAACAATGTTGATGATGAAGTTGAAGACAATACAATACTTTTGATATCAGTTGCTCATAAGGAAGTAGTTATCGCATTTAGAACTCTTCGCAATTTTATGGTGCAGTTCGAGAAGACAACACTTAAATTTTTGGATGTCTTAAGAAAAATTAGAGATGAGTTTCAACTAGATTTAAATTTTAACAACAAAAAAAAAACTAGAATCATATTTCACTATATTATTTTAGACATTTATAATTTTAAAGAATTATTAAACTATATTATTAATGAGACCATATATTTATATAGCGATCTTTTGAAAATTACTATCTTATATATTATCTTATCAAAATCGATAATTTTTTTCACTGACTCAAGTCGGAATCAGAGAAAAATCTTATCTTAGAGAGTTGATTAATTTATCGAGTACTAATTTAAAGTGGTTTTACTGCAAGCCAATAGATAGTTACCCTTCAAAGTCTCAACTTCAAAAATTACCTATAATGCTATTTTATTGATATTAAATTAGCTTTAACATCTTGAGCATTAAGCTATTACAAGATAATTGAACGATCTTAAGTAGCAGGTTATAATGCATTAAAGTTTTTGTTCTCTCGTATGATTTAAATTTTTCTTATTAAATATTTAATCTTAAGAGTTTTTGGGTCTCATCTTGATTAACATCTTTCTACTCATCTAAAAAAATCTAAATATTAACTGAACTATTCCAATACCAGAAAAAACCGATATGATCAAATGGTTTCAAAAAGTTTAATTTTTAATTACACAAAATACAATAACTAAAAGATTAATATAGTATAAATTTTATAAAATAACCTATCAAACTATACCATTGTCATTGACACCCCTAAATTATAAGTTTAAACTCTTATTTTGTAAAAGAATGTGTCCCCCCCACCCCCCCCACCCCCGCCCACACACACACCCCCTTTAAATTGGAGCTTTCATATTTATGGTAATATATAACATCATTGACTCGGAATTATGGGGAAAAAAATTAAGATGACCAGTTGATAATTAATACTAGTCTATTTTCTCATTTCGATATTTGATTACTAATTTGAATTTTGTATGCGTAAGACCTATTAAAAAGAAAAGTATTATTCTATCAGAATTCTTTTATTATCAACATGAATTTAAGAATTTAATAAGTTTCTGCATATTGATTTCACCACAAATTTTTATAGTAACTCACAAAGAACATATAAATCAATATATAACAACCCTAATATTGTTTCTACGCTTTTTTGGAGGCATAGTAGTGGTAAATTTGAGATTAATATGATAAATTTGGATTTTTTGTGTATATATGGAAGTAGTTGAAATTAGTAGAGTAAACCATATGTTGCACTGAACGTGGTTGCTCCTTTCTTAATTAATGGTCTCATATTGAAGCTTTGAACATGAAAAAATCCTTAATAGAGAACAGTTTCCATGGAATGAGACCTACACAACACGGCACATCAACCACGCATGGAAACAAAAAAAATAAAATTAGTAGAGCATAAGTTTTAGCAATTTTTATCGTGGACAAACTGTTAGTTGTCTTTTCAACCGAGGCAATAGCTTACCAAAGCGGTGATGAATAGTTGATCATCAACTGCAACTTGGAAGCAACTTTCGTTAGTTGTCTTTTCAACGGTCAACAGTGTGGAGAAAAAAAATTTGGAACTTTTTTTCTATGAATTAATTAATTAAGGACATGTTTGGTCCCAAGAAAATTTGGAAAAAAATTGGGAAGTAGTGTTTAGTCATATAGCTTGGCAAATATATTTGTCAAGTATCTCAAGTTTTCAAATACTAGAAAAAAACTAGTATTTTGGCCAAATTTCAATATTTGAGAAATTTAAAAAAGGACAAACTACATAAATCTCACTAGTTTATGTCATAATTGCTAAGATTTCCGATAGTTTCAAATATTACTTCTTTTACCATATTTCATGCTTAGGATACATGAATCTGAATCTACGAGATACATGTATCTGTCGAATTTTAAAATCGAGATACATATTTTATTTATTTAAATTAATTGGTTGTAACGGATTTCCTTAATTTGAGGAGTAATTGAGGATTTTCAAAATACATTAACAATTAATTCTGAAAATTTAAATTAATTAAATCCCTTAATATAAAGTGGAAATCAAGGAGTGTATCTATGTTTAATTAATTTCATTTTATTATTTTTTGAAATAATATTATTTCATGTATCTTTTATATGTATAATTTTATGTATCAAGTATCAATTCCATACGTTATATCCAAAAACATGTATATGAGATGAATACGAAAATAGTTAGATATATTGTAATAACATAACAAACATATATGATAATATTAAGATACATGATAGGAGACCAGATATATATGACGAGACTCAGATACATGATAGAACAAATTATGTCAAATACATGCGTAAATTTTCAATAATACGTAAATCTCCATACACACACTTAATAAGATACGCTAGATACACTTATAAAAATTAGATACATATATTCATATCTCAATAATGTATCAGATACATCAATAATTTGTCAAATACATGCGTAAATCTCCACTTATTGAAACTTTTCGATTACATTCGTGGCTGGTTAGGGCATCTCGCCGCGGCGATTTTTGCTTCACCTTTTGATTCATCGGTGTTGCTCACTGAGCCTAGATCCAACGGGAGAAGTGATGTGAAGTTTCTTGGCTGATCCATAGATACAGGGTGTGCAATCGGTACCATCATCAATGTCGAATTTGATAAACCTATTGGGCTTGAAATCTCTACTTAAAATGATATCCATTGTCTCTATGCGCGAGAGGTGTCTCCCCTTGCGAAAAAAATAGTGGATTTGTGGGAGATTAATTTTAGAGTGAGAAAATCAAAGGCTAAGAATTTGATGTTTGTGTTGACAAGATGTAGAACATTCATTTTAATGGAGTGTTTCTTCTCAGTAAATTTCGACTTATCAAAGGAAGAAAAAGAGTTAGAGTTAGAGTTTTGTTTTTCTCTCAGAGAAAGATATTTGTTTTTAATTAAAACACTAATTTTGAAGTTTAAATGTAAAGATAATTAATCTATCCTAGTTTTAAGGGATATGGATACTGATTGTATCTTCAATAATATATGATATAAAATATTAAAAGTGGTAATATATGTAATTGTTTGAAAGTAGAGGTAAAATTAGTGTATATAGTAGTGATGTATGAATAAAGTAGTTTATTCAAAAAATTTTTTTATCCCAAACATTAATATTTTATAAAAAGGTACCCATCATTTATTAATTCCAACTAACATTTGTTACTACCTCATTTGAAAAAGTTTGAGTTTTAATTTGAGTGATAAAATTGAGAAAAAAGAACAATTTGTGTTTGATGGGTTATAATTATAACTGAATAAATGACAAGTTTGAGTATGCGATAAATGTATTGTCTTGCATATATTGTTATTTTGTTGTTGTTGATTGTTCTCAATTATGTAATAAGGTTATTTTTTAATAGAACATATTCATTATAAATGATAATATAAATTTATGGGTATTTTAATAATTTTTAGAACTTGTGGATATAAATCATATTTTTTTAAATAGTCAAATATTTTTGGAAAAAATTGGAGCCAAACACATGGTGAAACTTCACCCAAATATAATTTGCCAAGAATATTTAAAAACTTGGTTAAACGCTAGCTAAAAATATGTTTTTTCATACAAATTAGGACGTAAGGATGGTTGAAAATTAAAACAATGGAAAAAAGATTCAGTAAAAAGTATACATAATTGTCTTGCAATTTGAGGTACTGAGAAAATATTCATAAAATATATGCTATTTATTAACTAATTAATCATTAAAGGTGAAATTTTGCATCATGTAATTAGGAGTGAATAACTTAACAATTACTCAATTATAATAAATTATTCATCAAAATCACTTATGTTTATTTTTTATTGATAACAGAAATAAGTGTTACAAAGCTAAACTTTAATTAGAAGAGGTTTATGTAATTATATCCTCTCTTTTTCTTTGGCTAGGAAAACTAGTCTAACTTTGTAGAAAAGTTAATTTAACTTGAATGACTTTATTATCATAAAATAGATATAAATCACAACAAACTTTAAAGGATAATTGCTATAATTAAGTGTCGTATAAGTTATTCACTCTGAAAAGTCAAAGTTGTAAATTTTCCATAGTATTGTATAACCTTAAATTTTGTTGGTAAGACATAGTAGAAATAATATCCACATACATATACCAATGGAAAATCTAGTTAGGGAAGTATGTTATATGTTTCTATAACTTGAGAACAAATAAAACTCTTCATAACTTAAGGAATATTTCTTTTCTATCGGAGTGAAATTTTATGTTGTGCAAATTTAAATTGATCAAAATTTAATATGGATAGCGGACATCATATGAAAAAGAAAAGTAAAAGTCTTCATAACTGAAAATAAAATTCAAAAGTTGTAGAAAATAATTTTCCCTTCCATATTGGCATGCCATGGAACTTGGAACAACTTGACCGGCATCCTTCTTTATAATGAGTCTGATTTGTCAACTGTACCGATTACTGAAAATGAAATAAAAAATCGAACAAAATCGGAAAAAAAAAAAAGAACCGTTATTTCTTTAGTTTTGTTTTGATTTTTAATCTAAAAAAAATGATAAATTGGATTTAGTTTTAAGCTAAAAATATCAAAAAGTTGGAACCAAATCAACTATAGAAATATCTACTTAAAAATTATAATTGTATAAGGGTAATTTAGTAATTTAATTTTTGGTCAAAAGTTTCCACTTATTGGAAAAAAGTTTGTCATGGGTGAATAATGAATTGACAGGTTCCTTATAAGCTTTTAATAATGTATCAAGTATCAACCTTCAAATCCCAAACTCAAAGGCTCAAACAAGCTTTCACAGCCATGGACAATGCAAATCTCTTGTTCAGTGGACTGGACAACATCTAAGAAATAAATGTGTTGATTTTGTAACATAATTGTTGGAATGAACTAGTAAAGCTTCTATAATCAAGAAATCACGCTACTTTGAAAATGGGTGATCTTTAATTTTTTATTTTTGACTTTCGCTTCTCTCATGAACTAACATTCAAGGTCAAGAGTGTTGTAATTGAACAAAACTTGTTAAACTTGAAGTTTTGCGAATAGAGCCAAAAGTCAAAACACTTATTTCCAAGTTATATCACCCTCTCTAGACCACTCCTTTTTTCAAAATATCCCAATTGTCATGACAGTTAGGGATAGCAATGGGATGGGCGGATGCCGAGTAGAGCAAGTTTAAGGCTATGCGATGCGGAGTGAGCTTAAGATTGTGCTAGGCGAGTGGGATGCAGGGCGAGTTGTAGTAGATTTTTTTAAAACTAATGCAGGTTCGGATGGGTTGTAGATATATGTGATTTTATGTGGGTTCAAACTTAATTTTAACTTTTTACATATTACAAGAGTAATAGAGCATTATTAATTAAAATAATTTCTTTAAAGCTACTAAAATATTCAAGATAGTAAATGAAAATTGTTCGATAAAAAATAATACAATTTCTTACATGTTTCCCAATTGACTTCTAAAAAATAATTTTTAAATCACTATCCTATTAAATTAATAGGACACAATGAAAAAATGAATTTTATTTTTAATACCAAACTTAACTAGAAAAAGAAAATATTCAAAAAATTATGCAGAGCAGGTCTATGCGGCGCAAGGCGAGTTTGAAAATGAAAAAAGTTGTTATGCAAGGCAGAGCGGGGCGAATTTAAAATTTTATGGGTTAAGCTCAACCCACCCCGCCTCGATGGCAGCTCAAATTGATTCAGGTTTGTTCCAAACCTATTTTTGCACCCCTGCTCGGAAACATGACTGAGCCGCAGCTATAGAAAGACACATTAGTTTTTAAATTTTTTGCCCATAAGTAAATTTAAAATAATTTTAGAAAGATTGAAATAAGGGAGGTACATAAAATATAGTAAATCAAATTTGACGGAAGGTCTCTGGAATTATACCTTAAAACACTTTTCTCTTAAAAAGCATCAAAGTCTAACCAGGTTCTGTGACAAGAGTATTAAATGAAGCCGTAATGCAAACTTATACTCAGAAGTCATTGGCATGAAGAAGACATTAGTTTGCTACCTAGATTTTCCTCAGGTGTGTCTCCTGCAATTGAAAGAGGAATATGCTACCACTGACATTCCATGGAGAACCACACCTCAACTATTTGATTACTAGCCAAAGCCATCGAGTTGATATCAAAATTTACAACAATCATGACACCTCCACGTTCAATTTGTGCCAGCAAAGATCCAACACGAACAAGTCAATGGACTAGGAAAGTCGTGAGATCTCACTTTTACTGATCCGGGTCAATTTAACCCAACTTGGATTAGTCACTTTGGACTTGTGATTGCAAGTTTCTCCTGAAAAAATCAGACAACTTGGAAGTGGCAGCACGTCCTCTCTCCAAACAGCGTATGTAGTCATCAACTGAATACAGGAAACATCTCAAGTCATAACAGTTGATCTAAGCACTCTTACGGAACAAAAGCCAACATGAATTCCACTAAAGTGGTCGACAACTTTTTATGTCAGTTTATCAAAAATGATATCCAATAGCTTAAAGAGAAAATAGCTACCAACTGTAGGCCAAAGGTTAAAAAGATCCCACTTTCTCATTCTTAATCTAACTATCTTCTTACGTTAAAAAAATCAAAAAGTAATGAGGCTCTAAAATGCATATATAACATTGAATGTGATTGGTTTTAACTCTTATCCAGATATCATTCAATCTGAAAATGGAGGGTCCGATGGTAGGGAGGGCAACAAATACAAGAGGGGGTTAAGGGGAAGCAACATACATCTACTAAATTCAAATTTAGCAGTAGATCTTATGTTGTTTTCAGTTCCATAAGCAGATTTAAACAAACTTTACAGAATTAATTCCACATATTTGACTCTGCAATCAAACTACAACACAAATTTTTGAGAAGTAAACTACAACTACAGACTGCAAATGTTGTAACTACTTAATTCACAAAATTAGGCGCAATTGTGAATCATCATGCTGAAGGTATTGCTCCATATGCACTACATGTATTACAGTGACCAACTAAAATGCATCTCTTGTAAAGAGATTAATCGTAAAGATACCAGACAAATAGCTATCCACTAGCAACAAGAGGAATCAACAAACTGTTGACTAACCTCACAGAACCACAAGCTCCAACCAGAAACCAGAATTTCATAACCAGGCAGAATAACAAAGAACTTCGAGGTAATGAAGCTCCCGCCATACATAATAAAAGTATAGTGCTATCTCAAAAGCATAGATTGCTGATTATGGGGAATACAAAACCAGTAGTTCCATACCGGTACAACTTTGATGATACAACAATCTTAGCAGTAAAAAGAACTTCTACAGATAATCATAAATGACATTAGGAATGTAAGTGCATAGATTCGTATCTTACCCGACATGACACCGTGCGTAGAAGATGTTATAAGCCCGTGTTCCATGGGTTCACCTCTCACTTTCAATGCTTCTTCAGGAAGCACAGATAATGTTGAGTTCGGGAAAACTAGATATACAAACGCCTTCATTCTCTGTTATCATAACGTAAGCAAATTATTAAACAGTATAGTTTCATGATATGAGCTAGTTAAGAATGCTAAAAAAAAGCTTACAAATTACATAAAAGACTAAATGGAAAAAAAACCTGTTCTTCTAGCTTGCTAGGGTCCAATAGAATATGTCCACTCTCTGTTAGACAACAACATATTGCAACTACAGAAAACAATAAGCCTCCATCATTTCATCTTTCCTCATATTGATACATTAAGTAAATTATCAAATAATGATGCTTTATCGCAAAATTGCAGATGGAAGATTAATACCAGCTAAGTGCTTCAAAGGAATTCCAGCATCCACAAGGGCAGCACATAATGCATTTATGGCACATGGAAGAAGCTTAGGAAAAATGCAGTCAAGGAAGTTTCTTGACTAACGAGCAAATCAAGGTTGAAGAACGATCTAACATCACTGATTTGCAGAATTCTAACATCACGTGATAGACGAGATAGAGGTGGTTCCCTTTAAAAAAGACAGGTCATTTTGCTGAGTTTCTTCAAAACGGTTTTATCCTGGTCACATAATATTGTCCTAGTTGGATATTAGTTCCTGAAAATTCAACATTCTAGATATTACAAAAGTCAAAATGTGACCATAAAAAGAGTTACGTCTTCTGGCAGATAGGTATACTCTGTCCTCTCACTACCCTTACGATCACCTTACAGAGTATCATCAAACTATGTTAAGTTGTCCCACATTTATTGTGGAATGTGAATTTGGTCTCTTTATAAGGTCTTGAGCTATTATCACCTCATGAGATAGCTTTTGAGGTTGAGCTAGTCTCAACGTCCATTTCTTTAACGTGGTATCGAAGTCAAACTCATCCTAGTTTTAGGTTAACCAAATGTTGGGCCCCAATAAAATGATGTACACGCTCCCATTGGCAGGACCGGGCGTGCGGAAGGAATGATCCCTTAAAACATTTGACTCTTAAAAAGCATCAAATCTAACCAGTTTCTGGGACAGAGTATTAAATGAAGCTGTAATGCAAACTAATACTCAATCCATTTTTGCAAGTAATCATCTGGGATAAAAAAATTGGTATGCTCATTCACGTAGTAATTTGATGGTTTGATCGTTTATTCAAATTGATGAGAGCTCTCTTCCCATTATCCCTGAGCACTCTCAGATATCAGGGTGTAAATCGTCTAAATTGTAGCAACAGAAAGAGTTCAACAACAAAAGGATACAGCTCCATCATCGTTGACAACCTGCATCAGAACTTAACTACTTAAGTTTGATCGGAGCTATCATTATGATTAAACAAATATAATATACAATTAGCAATTAGCAAAAAAAAAAACTAACAAAATCATAATGCATAGAAGTATGAGCTTTCTGATATCATGAGTTTCAGATAGACACATGGCCAACCAACAAAGATGTCAGAACCTAGTTCAATCAACACAACTGTCTTATATGGGTATAAATGTAATGTTCATAAATGCCTACACTGCACTCCAAAATCTTAGTATACTGATGGGAATACTTTTTAGCCCCAACAAAAGTAGCTAGAACGTGCGCTTCAGCTTTCATGCTTAATTGAGTAAATGACGAAACAAAGTGAAAAGACAGAAATAAACAAGAAATAAAATTCATAACATCCATGATGCCCAATTGTCTTTAATCCCTCAAAAGGTGAAACAGAGGAACATTTAAAAGCTCTACTCCAGACTTGGGCTATAAGTGACTGCAACAAAATCATTATTCATTGCTAGTCTAGGTGATTTTGTCTTCATCATTAAGTACCATATCCTCTTTACATGCATTATATGATGCTCTTTGAATCACAGATTACAGCCTACTATGCTTTGAGTTAATGGTATGATGTTGGTCCCTTGTAAAGAAGGGATATCATATGCCCGTTTCTCAACATTTTGTCCTACTGCTTCTCTCTTCATATTTTCCTATTACTGTTCTTCTCTTTAGATAGTTGTAACTGCTACAATGAACATCTTTCTACTTTGCATTCCGTTCTGCTCTGAAATATCTAATTCACTACAGGTACTTTCATCATCTTCTCAAGCTTGTTACAGTTAGTAAAGAAGACCATCAACATGGAATGTTGCTCCTCTAGCTCTTATGTGAGTAGTTTGGAAGGAGAGAAATAGAAGGGTAGAACAAGATTTTTTTTATTGGAGGAATATCATGACACCTCTAGTTTCCTTTTGCCGCACCTTTGAGTTTCTGGTTTGTATATAGGTAACTTTTGTCAAGAACCATGTCTTATTATAGGGTCTCTACTTTTTGGCATATTGCTTGTAGACAGGGATTTCACCAATAACAAAGAAATAATTTACCTAATAAAAAAAATGCCCAAAATTTCACTACTTCCCTAGTAAGTTTATTGCCTTCCGACTTCCTTCAAGAACTAGTCTTCTAAACATGTAAGAGCTGTAAGTTGTGCGTGTTAATTACTTCCCTTCAAGAACAAACTCAAGTTCTCCATCCAGACTACAGCTATAGTACAAAGCTAACAACTTGTCCACCAACAGAATGAAGACCTAAACCCCATATACACAACAAGAATGGCAGCTCTCCTCAATCCCTAGCTAGTTGGAGTTGGCTACATCAATACTCACTATTCATCTAGCTCCATTTGAACCACTTTCATTCCAGTGTTTAATAGTTTAGGCTGTCTTACACTTGAAGTTCTTTACAATTCTACTGACATACAAATCTCTAAGAGATAAAATAGTTTGAATTGCAGCAGGTAAGGTCAACAAATGCCTGCCTATTGAATGAAGTTACTCTTTACTTATTATTTATAGACTGTCTCACCTGAATGATAATTGACGTGGTGGTATTTGGATGAACATTCAAAACACAAATGCTTTGCACAGTCTTCTTCAAAATCATCTCATACTCCTTCTCCGCTTTACCTAAACATCAATTAGATTTTGAATTACAAAAGATCATGCCCCATTCACACACATAATGTAGCAACACCAAACAATTTGTTGAATGAAAATATCAAACACTGCAATTCATAAATTAGTAACAAAAAGTGTATTACAAGGCCCGTCACTAACCAATCTGCCCGGTTTTTGGCTTCCAAATGACTTCAAAACATGCCTTTTCTGGATTCTCGTTCTTGTTTGTTCCAGCCTTTGGTCCATAAACAGCAGCAAGAACTTTTGTCTCCCCTGTACAAGTATAAAAGTCTCCAACTTTAAATGAAAACGACTAAAATGAATAACCGAAATTTATCATTTAAATACCTTGAGACCAACTTGCAGAGCCATGAGCGCGATTAAGAACGTTACGAGTGCAACTCAATGGTCTCAATTGATTCGCTGTTCGCCCATCTTTTCTATCAATGTCCATAGCTCCACAACTTCAACAATTTTATGAAGAGAAGGGGTTTAGACTAGGGTTTAGGGAAGTAAAGGGAGAAGAAAGAGTAAAGTGGAAATAACAAAAAATAATTAAATAATCCTAAAGAGTAAAGTGGAAATAACAGAAAATAATTAAATAATCCTTTAGTGGTTTAAGACTTGTTTTCGTTTGTTAACTAAAATAAAAAAATTTGTCCAATGTTAAACTATTATTAGAGTAAAAATATTTAAATATGCCCATATTTTAAATGAAATTTCCCAAATCAAACAACAATGTACTGAATTTCCCCTAAAATAACTCACTCCCTAGACTCACTAAATTAAATAAATCATATAAAAATTAACCTCAATTATAAACATCTCAATTCATTAAATTTGTTCTTGATAGTTGCTACCTTTTTATTTTTGTTTTCTTCAATTAGTTTCTTTGTTCAGTTTCATCAAGCATCAAGTTTCACGTTTTCTTAGTAAATCTTTATTTGTTTGCCGTTAAAAATTATCTCCAATGTTTGTCTTTGTATTTTAATTTTCTTTTGTGGAATATATTCTACTATATTATAAAAGAGAGTTTAGGCCCAAGTATAATATATAATATTCAAGATTGGGACTTTCTTGAATATTATATATTATATTTATTATATAGTACAACTTGGGCATAAACTCCCTTTTAAAATAATATAGAATATGTATATATATATATATATATATATCTCACAAATGGAAAAGTCTCAATCAAGGAAGCAACATATATCATTTACAAATGACTTAAAAAGTATTAAAAATTACAATAATTACCAATTTAAAATATTTAAAAGTTATATAATAACATAGGTTGACTCTCAGAATTCTATCAGGCTCACATATATTGGGACAGAAAAAATAACACATATCATTTTAATATTACCAAAAAAGTATTATAAATAATAATAATTAACAACTTAAAATATCTGAAAGACATTTTAAAAGGGTTAATTTTGTAATTTTATCTATATCACATAAATTAGGACAAAAGTGACCAGTAATGTACATTATTTCAAAGTTACATAAAAATATTATAAATCACAATAATTAATAACTTCAAACATTTTTAAAAAAATATGAAAATTTGGATGACCCTCCAAATTTCATTTGTGTCACATAAATTGAGACAACAAAAATAGCATATATTGGGTCTATTTTAATTTATTTGTCTTATTTTTTTTATATTTAAAAATTGCATAAAAATACTATAAATCATGATAATTGACAACATAAAATATGTTTTGAAAAAAATACAAAAAATTCCACTGATTCTTGAAGTGAATCTATTGTAAAAATACTATAAATCATGATAATTGAAAACATAAAATATTTCAAAAATGTTGTATGTGAGTAGTCTTAGTATGCCTTAAATAGCGTCAAAGAAAGTACAAGTTAGTGATAAAAAAACTTATTCCTTCATCCACGCAAACAATCGCTTCAAAAACTCGATTATTAGCCCCAAAATATACCATTTATATTATTGGGCCCGTGCATAGCACGGGCAACATTATCTAGTATATACTAGACACAAGTGTTCGTGCTAGCATAGGCCCAATATCTGTTATTTTTTTGTCTCAAGAGTCAAATAAATTTTAATATGATTTTATATTTTAATTTGTTAATTATTGTAAATTTTATGTAATTTTAAATAATATATGTTACTTCTCTTTTCCAATATATGAAGCACAAATAGAATTTCAAAAATCAATATGTTGTTAATAATTAAGATTGACAATACTTTTTACGTAGTTTCCAAATTAAATATGTCATGACCCTGACTATCGTGATTGACACTTACACTAACTCTCCGGTGGGAGAACCACTACTACAACCCAAACCAAGCAATTAATCTAAAAATTAAGGCATTTTAAGGATACGAACAAGTTAAATACTAAGGAAAGAAATAGGGAGTTCCCATAAACTCCAACAAAGTCTAACAACGAACTAAACAATGCGGAAGAAATAACCTAGAACCTGAAAGTCAATGTACCAAAACATGTAAAGTTCAACAAGTCTAAACAAGAAGGGATGCAACCCCAATCTAATGAACTAATCAACTAACTAGAACATAGTCTAAGTCTGGAAATGGTGGACATAGATGAAAGAGAACCCATGGCAGCCCGGAAGAATTGGCTCACCCTTGAATTCGAATGATCATTGATCTCCTAAGAGAGGTCTGTCAGTAGCCGCTTGAAGATGTCATGTACTCAGCAAAAATAAGAGCAAGTGCAGTATCAGTACACAACCACAATGTACTGGTAGGATCACACGGCTATCCCACTAAGTGCAACATAAATAAGTCAAACAACAATATAATCACATGAATATATCTAACATATACAATATCATCAACATTTACGAACAACGAACAACTTCACATGTCTCAAAATACACAATTATGACAAGCCATTGGTCCTCTCATGGAACCCAAACTCAAACAGTTAGCATATCGGAATGTGGTACCCGATCCAATGATTATGCCAAAACGTGGCAACCGATCCCATAATTATACCGGAACGTGGCAACCGATCCAAGTTAGTTATGCCGGAACGTGGCAACCGATCCACTCAACACACCACAATCACAATCACAATCACAAGTATATCCTCAAGATCATATATTTAAGTCATGATTTCATGGTAACCATCATTCATCTATCTCATTTACAACAAGTGTGATCAATAATGCAACATTCGCATACATGCAAGTATCATAATGAAGCAAGAATAAACATACGTCACACAATCATAGAATCACAACCATCACCTACCTCGAAACAAGCTTGAAACCCTAAGAAACTTGATCCTTCCCTTTTCGGATTCGTTCCATTTGTTCTTGGTCTACAGACAATCAATATAATACGGGAATCAATAAACAATAATTAATTACTCAGATTACTAACAATTTTATGAACCCTATATCATACTCATGATTTCAATTATCCAAAATAAGGCTTTTTCCACCATGGTTTCCAATTCAAAACCTTCCCCCATCGATAATTACCCATTTTATTACGTTCTACGGATCAAAAAATGGATTCGGGGAGTGAAAAGCTTACCTTTAGCCTCAAGAATGGTGGAAAACTATTAGGAGTCGCCTGGGGTTCGTTTTTTAGCTCTAAAAATCAAAAAGTGCAGAATGAGGTCGTTTAGGAGTTTATTTACGACTTTAAATCGCGTCGAACCCGCCACAGCGGCCCTCACCCCGTTGTAGCGGCCCCGCCAGAGCGACCAAAAGCTCCGCCAGAGCGGCCAACAAGAACCAGTGAACTATTTAAAGAATTCCAAAATCGTCATTTCACAACACACCTCTAACCAACGACGCTCAGAAAATACCATTCACGCTAAGATCAATTTCGAGAGTTCTACTCACCCGAATTTAATTTCGTAAAGTCGTACAGATTTCTTAACGAGTTATCTAACCACTCGTGTAACCATAATTATAAATAAATCACCCGATTGTTACCATATTTCTTTACACCTTAAAGACTTCGATTTCGTCCAAATCTGGATAAGGTTGGGAAAATCCAAATACTACGAAAACGTTTTTCGATCCTAAAGTCAATCTATCAACCACTACTCAAATATAATCAAATTTCCCTAAAGTCTTGGGAAGACCAACCACAAAATCCATAGCTATTTTTTCCCACTTCCATTCCAGAATTGGCATTCTTTGAAGCAAACTTGCAGGCCTTTGATGTTCATAATTCACTTGTTGATAATTTTGACACTTCGCCATAAACTCCGCTATATCCTTCTTCATGCCCGGCCACCAATAAATTCGCTTCAAATCTCGGTACATCTTGGTCACACCCTGATGGATAGAATATCACGAACCATGAGACTCTGCCAACAATTTCTCAATCAAGTCATCTACTCTAGAGAGAATCCCTTTAAAATTGAGTACACCATCCGCATCAAGAGTGGTCTCTTGTGCCTTACCAATCACAGTCTTCTTTCTAAGATCCTCCAAATTTTCATCTTCAAATTGTTTGGCCTTGATCTTATCAATGAATGTGGCCCTCACTTCAATGCTAACTAACACCCACCTCTTTTTGAGATACCCAACTGCATGAACTTAGACTCTAAGGTCTGAATTTCCTTTGCCAAAGGTCGCTTGGATGCACTCAAGCAAGCTAAATTACCCATATTCACCGTCTTTCGACTCAAAGCGTTTGCCACTACATTAGCCTTATCCGGATGGTATTGAATGGTGACATCATAATCTTTAAGTAACTCCATCCACCTTCGCTGTCTCAAATTCAGATCATTTTGAGTGAACACATGCTGAAAATTGTGATGATCAGTAAACACTTCACACTTAACATCATAGAGGTAATGCTACCAGATCTTAAGAGTAAACACTACCGCTGCTAATTCTAAATCATGTGTTGGATAACTCCTCTCATGCACCTTTAACTGATGTGAGGCATAAGCCATAACATTCTTATCCTACATCAACACTGCACCCAAACCAGAATGTGAAGCATCACAATAAATAATAAAATCTTTACCTTCAACCGGTAATGCTAGAATAGACGCGGTGGTCAAAAGAGTCTTGAGCCTTTGGAAGCTCTCTTCACATTTTTCAGTCCAGTCAAATGGTGTCTCATTTTTGGTCAAGTGAGTGGCAATAGAAGCAAAGTTCTTCATAAATCGACGATAATAGCTAGTGAGCCCCACAAAACTCCTAACTTCAGTCATAGAACTTGGTCGAACCCAATTTTTTACCGCCTCAATCTTTTGAGGATCTACCATTACCCCTTCTTTTGAAACTACATGTCCCAAAAATGCCACAGAAGTCAACCAAAATTCACACTTAGAAAATTTCTCATATAACTTTTGCTTCCCAAAAACACCCAAAACAATACGAAGATGGTCGGTATGCTCCTCCTCACTTTTCAAATAGACCAAAATATCATCAATAAAGACTATGACTAAAGAATCAAGAAATTGCTTGAACACCTCATTCATTAAACCCATAAAAGCTGCAGGTGCATTGGTCAAACCAAAAGACATAACCAAAAACTCA